GAGAATACAATGAGTGTGGGATGTGCTTCTCCCTGCTGCATTCCCACTCTCTGACTCTGTGTTGTATTCAGCTGGTGGCAGGACACAGACCATGACCTCCATATGGCACTTTTGTCCATAAATTTGGCTGGCTGTCTTTTGCACCCATTTATGCATTTGTCTTCAAAAACTTCCTGTAACAATTCATTCTTCAATTCCTTGCTATGTGAAAAGGCATTTCAGCTTATTTTTAAACCCGCTGCCTGATATCTTCACTGTTGTTAGACGTGTGGAACAGTCATTGTTTATTCACTTCTTCCCTGTCAGTTCTGATTTTCTTTTTTCTCAACGTATTGTATTTGTCAAGGCTACATTTTAGATCTTGTTCTGAATTTACCAAGATTGTAATGCTTAAAATGCTGCAGTTATGGAATGGAACTGAATGCCCTTTGTATTTCCCTGCTCTTGGGACTATTGTGTTGCTCTCCTTCTTCCGTGCAGGCCAGTTCATTAACATTTTAAAACGTGGGATTTAGAATGAATATGTAAATGCACTTTCCAGTCAGTATAGTAATTCCTGCCACTTAGTTTTAAATTAAAATAATGATTGTTAATTGAGCATCGAAGATACAAACTGTCTGACTGGACAAGAATATCCAGTAAAAATATGATCTGAGAAAAATGAGATAAATATATAATTAAGTATGAACCGTGGTATTATTTCTGTCTTCCAAATGTTCAGAAATTTGTGCTAGTTTTGAATGGCCTTTTCAAAGATTCACCTTTTCAAACTTGCCGGCATGATTCTGCCGTAAAAAGGAATGCATTCTGGGACACATCCCTGCGAGGGGAACAGGCTGCCTATCACCTTTGCTCTGAGAGCCCTGCTCTCAGCGGTTGGTTCATTCTGCTGTCTCAGGGAGTGATATAAGCCAGTTACTTCTGCTTATAAACAGACTAAAATGAGTGTACATCCATATTTTTAGCACAGAACTTTCAAATGAAGGAAAGTATGTATGGGCATCCCTCATTTCTCAGGTATTAACAGATCGGTCATCTTTGACCTCTCCTCCTTGGCTCACAAAAACAACATAAAATCCGTACAAGATTCCAGTGGACAATATCATCTTTCCTTGTTTATTTTGCTTAAAAATATATACTGTTAGTTAAAAAAAAAAAATAGATAACACATATACATCAGCAACACATACAAAGTGGCACATATGTACTAAGAACAATCTCCAGGTTATTTTGAAGTCTACATCCCTTACTGTCTGTAGATATTTACTGACAGCAGAAGAGCTATAATGAACAACAGTTACCACTTGCACTGGACTAACATTTTCTTTACACGTCTACAGTTGCTGTAGAACTTCTCCAGAGGCTTTAACAGATGGGATGCTCTCTCACATTAATGTGTGGAATTCCTTTTGTTACATGCTTTTCTGAGGGGGAAAAAATATCCAACCCTCGCATTCTCTGTTGCAATATCTTTTCATAGTATTCTTACAACTAGAACACAAACAGAACAAAATAGCAAAGCCTTCTGTTTTTATTTGGTTCAGCTGTTTATAGGTGATAAAGATGATGGAAGAGCAGAAAGATGAGAATGAGTCCAAAATGCTTTAAGAATATTTCTTTACAGTCAACACACACACATGCACAAAGAAAAATAAAAAAAACACCAAAAGACAGAGTTGCTCCTTTGGAGCTGCTTAGTATTTGCTTTATATGCCACTCAGTTTAATAAGAAAAATACTGTGAAAAATCAGTATTTTTCACAAAAAGTGACATAAAAGAGAAGCTTGCTCACTCTTCCCATTTCTTTGGCCTCATCAGGAGAGGGGTGGCTTCTGCCTTCCCTTTTTCTCCCTGGATGAGTCCACAAAAAATATTCCCACCCAGCCCACAACCTGGAGGCTGCCCTGGGAAGTAGCCCTTACTTATATTTTAAAAGAAAGTTCCCTTTTCCTATCTATACATCTACTTTCAAAAAAAAAAAAAAAAAAAAAAAAAAAAAAGTGAAACCTAAGGAACTGAGTCTTTCCCAAAACCTAAATGGAGGACAGAAACCCATTTACTTTTTCTCTCCTATTAATTTAGAAACACATCACTGCAGTGTGCCATCAAATGGCACAGAGCTGAGTCGTCTCTGCACTGCAAGAACAGGAATGGCTTCTTAATTGAAAAAAAAAAAATAGCATTTCTAGTGTGAGTGGCAGCAAGACTTTATTTTACTGCTGCCCACCATGCAGTATGTCTACCCCTTTCAGGGGCAGACAGAGCTGTAGCAATTATTTTTCCAGTTTTCATTGTTAGGTGAAATCATAATGTGGGTGCTCACACATTTTTCATCTGTTTAAGAACCATACCAATCCAGATGCTGGAAGAATAGTGAAAGGGTCTTGTCTGCCTACACATCCAAAGGGAAATGGAATGGAAACTGGAAACAGAGGGTCATTTAAGGCAAGGACCAGGCTTATTTTGCCTTGTCTCCTCTCAGAAAGCCATTAATCTCACCCGCTTTGCAGAAACCCAGGAAGGTATGTATGCAGGCTCATGGGAAAGCTGTTTTCTCTTGACAGAGTGGGAAGAAAGGAGAAAAGGTCAAGAACAGTGTGTTTACCAGACCCATGTGCTCCTCTATGCGTGCTGCTGCTGCATGCAGCTGCTTTCACTCTCAGCTGGCATTTTGCGGTTTTGAACACTAGAGCACTAAATAAAATATGAGATTTTAATACCTATTATTTCATGTATCCAGTGTGGGATGCTAAAGTAAACAGAATATTGCACGAGTGCACATTTCATTCATATGAGCAGAAGCTTAAAGCAGAAATGGGGAGAACAATTAACAGAAAGCCCACAGTATACAGAACATGGGGTACGGAAAAACTACAGACAGATATAAATTTCCTTTTAAAGAAATATACTTGAAAGACCAGTTGCTTAATGTTGTAAGCTAAGGAGAACACTGACTCACTAAGTCAATATTTACTAAATCTACCAGGCCAAATTCAACTTTTGTTCTAAGCAGAAACAATTTTACTGTTGTTTCACATCAATGAAAGGAACTGGCCTTGAGACCAAATCTGGAAAATGTACAAAAACTTTAATCAGGGCATGCAGTCCTATGTTTAAGGATTATTTTAAATAATTTATTTTAATTTGATTTCCATTTTTTAGATTTTTAATTTTAATATTTCAATTTGGCATTTTACCGATAAATAAGAACCTTTTATCCAGCAGCACGGCAAAGCTGATAGATGCTTTTTCCCCTTTGGGGGGCTTCGTAACTGCAAGCAGGGAAAACAGCTGGTCTCTGGACAGAATGACAAATTAACAAGAGAGTGTGTTTTATACTTTCTTTGCAGCTCTTTTTAAAACTAGAGGTGATGAGGTACGAAATAGGTGCTAACAACTCAAACAACAGGAAATTCCAACAATCTATGTCCTTTTTCTCAAGGTTTCATTGATAAACAACTACAATTAATGCTCTGTAGGCTGAATCTCTCAATCTACTGCAAATCAAGAGCAAGTCCACTGAAGCCAAATGACTTGCATGCATGCTAATTCAGTCATGTCTTCATGCTTAAGGGACTTTTGTTGAGCGAACTTTTCGGTTACTGGAGCAAGAGCACTTTCCTCAGACTCTTTTCTGAGCTATGAACGCAACGGGAAAGCTTAAAGAAACGATAAAAGAAAGCAGATTGGAGAAAAGAGGAGGGGAAGAAAAACGTTTACATGTGCTATTTGGTTTTAGAATCACAAAACCTTCCTTGTTAGTAGAGGTCATCTAAGAAAAGAGCAGAAGCACAGATTCTTAATTAATCGTAATGATACTCCTTTGTGATACTCCTGAAAGAATTTGGCTTTGTCTTATGAACAAGTGATGACAGAACCCAGATTTCTTTTCTCCCAGCTGTCATGAGTATATGCTCATGTTTCTGAACGAATGTTGCTAAAGATGCTTAAAATGGCCTTAACATTTTGAAGATTCTACTTAACTAAAAATTTATTTAGAAGCTTATGATAAAAAAAATAATAATTGCAATCAAGTTGGTTAGTCTGCAGCTGTTATTCAGCCTGTATTTTCTGTGTTTATAATAAGCTACCTAGTAATTGCAAGACTTTTATTGATGTCTAAGTAGGGTTCTTTTTAGAGCATATGACTAATAAAAATTAATTGCTGCAAAAAAATTCTAGAAAGCACTCACTGCTAACTTTTTTTTTTCTTTAAATTTATAGCCATCACTTATATTCCTCATACAGTAAGGTAGAAAAGAATGATCAACAGAAGAGGTTATAAACAGTCTACAGCCCTTATATCTACCAAGCCAGTCTTCCCTAATTAACAATAACAAAGGAAAAATATGCAAATCATCAGTGGACAATGTACACCAAGAAAGCCTCCTCTATTTCTAGACACAAAAAAACCCCACCCTTTTAGAGTTACATCAACAAACCAACTGACATTGACTACTACATTGCCTGTCTCTTTTTAAGACTCCATAAAATGAACCAAAAGCTGTTTTGGAAGGAATGCACTGCACAAGCCTTTGCTTCCAAGTGTAAATAACTGTTGAATTACTCTTTTGGAAGAAAATTAATTTTGTCCCAGTTTAGGACAAAGAATCCTAGTTTTTCTAGGTTATCCTGTACATATTCTCTCAGAGTTGAAGATTTGGGACAGCTATTAAAATGTTTTAAACATTTAGATTTTAATGCCCCAGTGAAAACAATGTAAACATATGCCCCATGGGCTGCACTCATGTATGCACTGCTCTGTGTCTAGAACTAATTCCCACCTAGAAATAAGTGCAATCAGAAATAGCTCCCTGTACAAAGCCTATAGTATTCAAGTCATTTTTGACCTCACCCTTTTCTTACTTCCTCAGTAGCTATGAGCAAGGTCTGGCAATCTTCAATGGCTATAGCTGAGAACCATGGGGCTAGACACAACACCAGCAGCATTTAGCCCTGCCCTGCAAGCGCTGTTGAAATACAGATAACAGTACAGTTTCTAGATTTTCCAAAAATATATATTGATAGTCTAGTTTTATTCCTCCATTCTGGAGAAAGCACTTGCCCTTAAAACTTCCATGCAGTTCACAAGAATCAACGCTCCAGTTAACTCTCGCCACTGTTTTGTTACTGGATTTTTCATTTTGTCCAAGGCTGATTGCAGATCTTGTAAGACATCCCTGTAGCTGTCTCCATAATGGGCAGCCCATGTGTAGAGAAAGTCATATGCAGGTTTCCACATCATCTGCAAATAAGGGAAAATTATGAGAAATCTTACTTGCAAAAATTGAACTATTGCAGAAAAAAAAAAAAAAAAAAAAAAAAAAGCAAAATCTTTGCAACAGTCAGAGAAAAGAGAAAGAAGAAAAATAATTATTTGATCCCTAGCCACGCTGGCATGCTTTCTTATATAAGGCATATTCATTAAAAAATCCAGGAACGTTATGTACTTCATTGATATGAAATTCTATAATTCTCAGAGGAATAATAAGAGAAAGATAAAGTTTTCATTCAGATAACTATCACAAAGTAAATATACTTCTATGTCTGAAAGTGAAACTAAAGGCACAAGGGTAGAAGGAAAATGCTTTTCCCCTTGATCATTTTTGAAACATATACATCCAACAGCAGTTTCTCCATTGGAGAGTTTGACTTGCGCTTTTGGTGGTTAAAGCCCCGCTTTGTCAAGATTCCACTGTCCCCCTCTGAAGTCCTGAAAATTTAAACATAGTTCTTATCTACACAAAAAAATTTTAAGGTGACATCAATAGAAACATCTGCCTAATAGAGCAAAACAAAACAGGAGCAGACAAACAAATAAAACTGCTCAAAGAGCAGGAAAATCAAAAGTTTTTATAATTAACTTCTTAAAATTAGGGCATGCTATTTTAAAAACTATCCTGCAACAAATAAAGGAAATAATAAAAATTAAGAAAATATAAATAAGAAAAAACAAGTTACCAGTGTATTGCAAATCACAATATGTTTAATTATTTTATGCCTAATAAATATGGAGTAGATCTTCTCCAGATGTAATTTATCATTCACCTTGTGGCATTAATGCAGATATGGCAGCATGATTCAGATACCAAGCTCGACTTGCATCTTTCAAAGTGCTGATGCACAGAGTAAGTTTACTCTTGTTTACAAACAGAAAGCTTGTCTTCCCATCTGCTGCTTTCAAAAATTTAACTTAGACATCTAGTTCCCTTCTTCTCATTGGCAACAGAGGTTTTGCAAACAGCAATTTAATTAGCAGTTGTATGGATGATACACAAAGCCATAAATAAACCCTTCGCTTTCCTAAATAGTACTGTCATATGGTGTTTTGAGAAAAATACACTTATGCATACTAATAAAAGCACATGAACTGATGCGTATGCATGTATATATACACACAGAAGTGACCAGGAGTCACCTAATTCTAAAAGGATTTTTTAAATCTTTTTTCCTTTTTTAATGGTGAAACAATTGCATGTTTCTGAAGGATAGTTCAGAAGGAAATTGGTTATTTCTTCAATATCCTGTCCTATGAATGTGCAATAGACAATGTAAAGCTCCACTTCCTTACTTTGAGCTCTATTTATTTGATCATTTGAGAAAACAAGTAGCTGGAGGAAATTCCTTTACCTGTGGTTCTGAACTTTCCTCTGTATTTGGGCTAAGAACTCCTAACTTACTCAAATATTAACTTTACTGTAGTTTCTGTCAACATCTCCCTCATCCTTAAATGCAAAAATCCATACAATTAATCTCCCTGGTAGTATACCTCACAGTTTGGTTAGTCTGATTTCTGCCTTTAGTTTAAGCCATAAGAAAGTGCCAGTGCTTTGGGTGAAGTCTGTCATTTAAGCTTTTTAAAATTCTTTATTCTTACTTCTAGCTTGATAAGCAACATAGCCAACAAGAAAGCTGGGATTTCTTGATATGCTACTGCTGTGTCTTTTCTCTGTCTCCTGCTTCCTTTTCTTAGAGCCTGCTGGACCAGGCTATTTGAAAGATTAGGGGACAGCCTTTCTCTGGTGATACTTACTAGTATGCAAAAAGATGGAGTATTAAAAGGTGCTATGCTTTGACTTACATTGAAGGTCTGTCTGACACAGCACAGTCAGAGAATTGCCTAAAATACAAACCGTGCTTTCCTCAACTGATTTTTTTTTTTTTTTTTCCAGGACAAAAGAAAAATGTAGACAATCAGAAACTTTATGAACAGGTCATCAGTAATGCAACGAGGCAGTAACCTACATGTTCATCACACCTAACTAATACTGCAGACCAGGCTTCTGAGGTAGGTCCTTCTCCACAATCACACACTCTAATGCAACAGCTGAACTAAATCAGGTTTGACACTACTGAAATTCAACAAAGCAGATTTTTAAGGCAAACTATTAAATCACTGCAGCGTGCTGGGCAAATCGCATTTCAGCTACTTGCCTGGGTTTTCCCTCTGCTCCCACTACCTCTGCTGAGTAGATAATAATGATACCCACATTCTCCATAAAGTGATTTGGAATTTACTGATGAAAAGCACTTCAAAAGCAAGGCATCAATTGTATGCACCTCAATTTGTCTTTCTGATCATCTCAGAGAAGATTTCTCCCACTAAGAAAAATACTCCAATTAGAAATAGAAACATTTTTTGGCCAATCAATCCTTCTGATGGAGAATAGTCCTTGATTAATGAATTGGTTAATGTTTTCAGACAATAGTAATTAGTCAGAATCATTACTCCTTGAATTTTCTTATTTTTTCACTTACATACAAACAACTACTATTAACAAAAAAACCCTACATTTCAATTGGTAAACTCCAGGATAAGATTATTTTAATGGTGTTTCTTTTGTAGCTTCTAAGTAAACATGACAAACAGCAACCATTCTGAAATAAATAATCAGACTAACACTAACCTGGTAAAAATCATGCAGTCTTTCCCACACAGGTATGAATTTACACCGTGTTAGCTATATTCATTTTGCATCCCATATAGGCACTCCCACTGAACATAAACAATAAATTTTATAAGCAGAGTACTGTTTTCTGTAGAGGTTTCTTCAGAGGTTCAATTCACTATACCACTGAGAAGTTCAGAGATTTGTCACTGGTTTTATATGATATATATATATAGAACTTGACTATATTATCTTCAGGCATAAGATGATGTCATAGGAAGGTGGAGAATCTTGTAGATGGTTTATTATATTATGATTTATATTAGGTGGGAATGTACATAGATGGATATATAATGCCTATATATTTGAAGCAATGTAAATATGTATATAACAAATTAAATATCATATATATGTGTGTGTATATACATTGTGCTGAAAGAAGTGTTTTAAGATTATGCTGGTTCTACTGTCTGGTAGCTAAGAAAGAATTTCCAAATACATGGAGGCCAGTGGAGACACACATTGCTCAGGTATAATAACCTCTATAATTCTCACTCAAGAGAGCAGTGTTTTTGACAAACAAAGGAAGCTTAGCAAGTAAAACAAAAGTCTAAGAAGTTAGACAAAGCACTACAAAAGTTAAAAATGGAAGTGACAGTCATTCACACACTAGTGCAAAAATAAAGCTAACAACAAGGTGACTATTTTTCTACTGGAAAGAGAGTAGTCAAACGACAGGTAGAGTTTCATAATAACAAAAAATGTAAGGAGAAATGTGCACCTATGCACAAGTAATATATCCGGAACAACCAAACAAAGCAAAGCCTTGAAATAGTTCAAAGGAAATAGTAAGATTAGAGGAGCAGAAAATATTTTTGAGAAGAAATGATAGAAATTTGCAGTAAATACAGAACACTGTATGTGAATCAAAATCTGTATCTGAGTCAAATATGGGTCTGGAGCTGGAGCAAGGCATTCAGAGGAAGAATCGGTGGTTCATGATCAGAGCAGAAATCTCGTGACAGTAATCACAATGCAGATAAGACTGAGATTAAAGATTCAAAGGAATTGGGCTGTAGGAAGGAAAATATGCTCAACAGGAATCAGGGAGAATCAGATACAGGGAAAGAAAAAGGAAGAAAGAATATCTTGAGCTGCTGTGAAGGCGTGAATGGCAAATAGAAGCAATTTGTTAGATACCAAGATGTGACAGAAAAGGGATTCAGATTGGATAATGTGCATTATCTGCAATAATCAGAGGATATTGCAGGCAAATGGAGAGTCAATCCTGAATGCCTAATCCCAAGCAGAAAAGTCACATTGAGCAACATTCAGTGATATACATAAGAGAATGTTCAATGTTAAACCCAGTCTGAGAACTATCAGTTATCGGCACATAGCTCTGTAGGATACAGTGGATACAGAAAGTAGAGAAATGTAGGAAGAAAGTTGGCTGCCCAGGCTAAGGTGTGTCAGGAATACAGGCTGGCCCTCAAGTCAGAGGTGGGCATGAGCCCAATCTAAGTCTTATGACATATCTGTCACACTGCATGGATGCTATGGATACCTCTGAGCATCTTCAAATAGCACTAGAGATATACTTAGGTGCCTAAATTGCCTCTTGACTGTATACACACTAAAATATATCTGAGAAGACAACTTGACTTTTATTTAGAAGTCATACTTCTATTTCACCAGAGTGCTTTTACAACAGAGGGCAAATATGAGCTACGTGGCAAACCATTCACTTAAAACAGGGTTTGCCATGTTCACATAAAAGGAGGTGAAATTGGTGTCAGAGATTGCCTTGTCTGAGTTTGATGGGGAGAAATTTGACACAGACGAAGAAGAGGAAAGTGTTAATAGTAGAGTTAAGCTTGTTCTCAGTGGAGAGAACAAAAGCTGTACTGAAGGTGATTTGAAGGAGCTCACTGCAAGGACTGGATGGTCTTCCTTACTGCAACTGAAATTACAGCAGCTGGGAAAGAGAAAGAGAGGAGTGAGCAAGACTAAGAATGAGATAGCAGGTCAATAAGGGATGGAAAGTGACCCTTGGGATGGAAAGTAAAGATCTGAAACTCAAGATAGAGAGATACCTGGATCTCCACACCAAATTAATTTGGCACAACACTCTACAACTGGCTTCAAAGGAAAATCTTAATAATTGTAAGCAAAACTTGATGAGAATTTCTTGCCCTGAAGAGATTACAAACTAAATACAGAGGCAGTAACTATAAAAGGAAAAAATTAAACACAGCAAGGAAGAAGAAAAGTGCCTGGAAAGGAGCAAGGGTGCACATTGCATTACCCAGAACTTTACCTCCAGAGCCACTGCTCCACTTTTCCCTTGATGGGGTATCTCATAAGCCTCTATTTGCTGCTTCGTGAGTCGGGCTAGCTTCTCTGCGAGCTCCCGCCAGTATCTGCCAAGCTTCACAGCCGATGTCAAAATGACGGTGTCCTGGGTAAGACGGGCCACTAATCCCTGGCAATCTATTTTCAAAAGTGCCTGCAACAATCATTTTCATTAATGTCCCTTCACAAAGGAACTTCCTACAAACATCATTATCATTTGTCTTCAAAGCACTAGTCTACATTTTTAAGCTGACAAATATTTTTCCAATAAAAATGCATTGCCAATAATTTCATAGGAAATCTTCCCACAAGCTTAAGAAAAAATAAGGCTGGCATTCAGCTGCTTCAGCGTTCTAGTGTCACATGGATATTGCCCAGCTAAGGGATCCTGAAGGGAAAATATTTTTCTACAACAAAAATATCTGGCCCATCAAATTATGTTAGAGTATGACACGGAACTTAAAACTGAAATTAAAGTACTGTTGCACTAAGATGTGGTCCTCAGTCACTGCTTTTCCAGAACACTGATTACACTGGCCAGCACCCTTTGATTTATTCCTCTCATATAATGGAAAATTTGCCAATCATCACACAGAAATGTGAAAATGAAAGTCCCCATGCCAAACGATCTTTCAAGAGCAAATGAATTAACATGTTTCCAGGAGCAAAGTCCTGAAAGGCTTCATTCTCATTTCTTATTTATTTCCTCAACAGCTAATGAGAAAATGGGTGGTGGTTATTAATTTTTTTAACAGAAAGATGTTCCACAGAAAATATTGGTTTGCCAGAGCAACATCAAGAACCAAAACCAGAGAAGTTTCTCCATGTTCTGATACTGATTTTTTTATACAATAGCAAGCTTTTTGCCTGAAAACAGCTAGTTGTATATTTTAGTTGAAAATGTTCCATAAAAATTCTCATGGAAACAGATATTTTGGTAGATAAGATGCTTGGCTAATGTAGCTAATCAAGAAATAGTCAATATGGATCCAAAATTCTCCCATACTAGTGCCCAACTAGAATAATATCCTGAAGTCACTACTGAGAAATAGACAGTAATATACAGTACCAACACCCTTTACACTTGGGCTTTACACGTGGACTGCCCCTCTGCTGCCATCTGTCACATGGTAATAAAATGTAATGGAATATTGCCAGGAAAGTTCAACCTTTACTACCATACCACCAACATCTTCCTCTGACTTTATGGGCCAACATAATAAAATAGGAGGCATTACTTTCAGAGCAGCCCTCATATAAGTTGCTACCACAGAAAATAAATTCTAAAATATTTTCAATGTTGTCCTTATGCAGCTACAACTCTGAAACTGTCAAACGTGGACCAAAAATCTTGTCTTCAACAAACAGATAGGTCACAGTTCCCTTGCTTTAAAAATATAATGCAATCTTAGAAATACATCTTATGGCAGAAATGCTATAGCAGTTCTCACACTGTGTGGTTATTAATTGCTTCTAATTAGGACTGTGAATTGCTTAGGTAAATAATTTACTATTGATTTGTGACAATGACAAAAGACGAAACTACTTCAACGATGGCTTGTCAACATACTACATGAGCAAGATTCCTGGTATGTTTACAGAAGACTATTTAAAATAAATGGATTAAAGCATTATTTTTCATAAGAGTCTGGATGCATTTTACATCTATAATTATCTGCAAAAATTAGTAGTATGTTCAGGTTTGTAAAAGTTCCTGTGAAGGTGTAGGACAACATTTTCTTGTTCATGTTACTACTGACATAGCCTCTTGGCAATGCATTCCCAACAACCAAGTTAGTTCATGCAATACTTACAATAATGAGCTCATAAAGGAATAGTCTCTTTTTTTTGTTAGCATGGCAGTCTTCCTTTAGCCTTTTTACAACATGCGCAACTCTGTCTGATTCTTTATCACCATGTACCTCATTAAAGTCATCCAAAGATATATGTGAATATCCTAGCACCTCAGCCAAAGCTCTCCAGTCATAAACACTCTCTGATACTGTAGATAAAACTACTGAGTAGATATAAGTCAGTTTTTTAAATGGCAATGTAATCTGTTCAACAAGATTCCTGGTTGTCAGTTCGCTGTCAGTTGTGTCCATAGCTTGCTCTTTGGAAATCACTTTTATGTTTTTACAATGTACAAGACCAATCTTTCTTCTGAGAACTCCTACATACCAGTCTTTTATCTTAGCTTGTCCAATGGCTTTTACTTTATCTTCACCAAGAAGTGCTATTGTGTCTCCTTTAAAATATTCCAGCAAATAGTCAATTTTATTTTGACGTAGCACAGTTTTCAAAGCTACTCCATAAGTATTAACATTCAAAATTTTGTCTTGAAACTTTGGGTATTTAACTGTTGGTATTAAAAGCAAAGGTGCAGACTTGATTTCTTTGCGTTTTTGTAAGCGCTGTGGCCTACTGATAATTCCACTTAATTTTGGAGCTGGATCAGGGGTCGTAACATGGAATTGTGTTATTTGGCTACTTTTTGAGACTTTAATCTGAACAAGAAAAACAAAGAAATGCATCTCCCTACATCCTAGCATGGAAAACAGGAATTGTTGGCGGACCATTTCACCAGTTTTCAGTTCCTCCTCTTTAATATTTTTGCCTTCATCTTCCATCTTCACTTCAAAATCTGGATCACAGGATACCAAAGAAATGTTTAGATCTTGGGGCTTGTCAAGCAGAAATGTATGTTTTCCCCACAGCTGAAATACTACAGGGGGCATATTTTTCCCTCCTTTTTTTATATCACAAATAGTAAGTTTTCCTGGAATGTAGTTATGACCAAATACTGCAAAAACTGCTGTAAAAGATGGATGAATATATTTGGGACCATAAATCCCAACTGAGACAGTTCTATGAATGTAGTCCCAGACATTAGTGGCTGGAGGCTGGAGTTTGTTTGCCTGTACTGCAATCACTGCATACATCACGTGACTTAGGTCCGATAGCTTCACTTGTATAGTATCTTGATAAGTGTAGCAATTCTCTAGCTTCTTAAAAGGCCCTTCTTTATCGAGACTAAAAAAACAGACAATATCACTCATAACTTGACTGAGAGGATCATTCTTCACTTTAGCTGCAACTTTCACCTCTAGGAAAATAGCTTCCTTCGTGTTGAGGTTGCTCAGTGTAAGTTCTATCAGAGGACTTACAGTGCTAGACAGCTCATTGTTAAATGACGATGGAGGGTTAAGGATAGCCCTTAAACCAACTTCTTGGAATTCTCCAGGTAATACATGACCTACAGGGACGTGAACATTGATATCAGAGTCAGGTAGCTGTACTGAACCCCCTTCATGATTCAGTTTACAAACTACATGAATGTCTGCAGCTTGCGTCTGTGCCCATCCAGGACTATGGCTCATGGCTTCTAAATCTAGGCAAGATCGAGTGAGTTGTCGGTGACTCAACCAAGCCATTTTGTAGGCTTCACGGTCAATTTGAGGGCACGTCGTGTCAGAAACTGTAGTTTTTTGAGGCGTTGGCTTATGAGGATTAAATCTTCGGTTATCAATAATATCCAAGAAGTCAGAAACACTCTTGGATCGTCCAGACCTTCTTGTTGAGCTCTTTCTTAGAAGGCAATCAATATTTAGCTCATCTCCTGAGGAAGCCAAAGAATCCCTGTCACTAGAAACTTTAGAGAACAAATGGGACTTTTCTTTCAAAATAGAAAAGTATTTATTGTTTTCATTTCTATTGGAAGCAGCTATGTCATGTACAAAAGGATTGGAGGATGACAGTTCATTCCAGAAAGGGTTAGTCTTGGAAATAGTATAGGTATGTTTGAACAAATCAGACCACTCAATATCCAAATCCATTTTGCTTTCATTGACATCTGTTTAAGAGAAGAAAAGAAAAAAATAATCACCAAGTATTTCCTAAATCACAGAAACTTGAGACATTCCATTAGTTTCCAACCAACACTCTTAAAATGACTGAGAGGTGACCAAATTTGTCATCTTAAAATGCATATGGATCAAATTGTCAAGGGATATATTCGTATGTTTTTACTTCAGATCATTAAAGAGTATCAATATTGACAATCAGTGCTTTCAAGTAGCATTAAGAATTTTCATTAATAATAATTATAGTACTAACAAATCAGCACTGAAAGATGTTAAAAATCTTCTGCAAAGTTCTGATTACTATGAACACCAAGAAATGTTAATTAGTATCAAGCACACTAACATCCCATAAGTTTAAGCCACTACATTTCAGTAATCCTTGGTCTCCTACAAAATTCCATGGGTTTTTTTCTTTTGTGACTATCTCTATGCAAAAAATTAAGCAACCACTGTTTCATTTTCAGACACTGTGGACAGTATGGATTCCTTTTCATGTTAGAGCATGTGTATTTAATTAATATCAGCATTCTTACAATTTATCTCAGTGTGAGTGGAATTTGTTCTACCAGCTTTTCTTTTAAAAATTCATTGGTATAATCTATGATTTTTTTACAATTTGAAATTCAGAACGAAATGATTTTGTGGCAAATAGTTTTCCTGAGATTGCATTTAAATAGAATAATAGAATCCTGGAATCATTAAGATTCGGAAAGACCACTGAGATATCTAGTCCAACCTTCAGTACACGTAATAAATAAAATGTAAATTGAAAAATAAGGGTATATAAGTGATATTTAAATGTGTTTTTAATAAGAATACTCATCATTAACAACAAGGTCTATTTGCTGTGAATATAAAATGCCCTAATATTTTATATTAATAACAGTTCACAAAAGATGGCTCATATGTTTATTGACTCACACTTCCTGCAACAGTCTGACTTTTTTCACTAAGGGTTTCTGTCACTAATAGTTTGTCACTGTTCCATACAGAGTATGTTGTATACCATCCTTTCTTTGTACTTGCTTAAAATCCTATCAGGGATTTTAATTTTAGAGGTAAAACTCAGCATTTCTATTCATTCAGCATGTTTATATTCTTCATTATTACACTTCCCATAGAAGTTTTCAAGGTTATTAATTATTGCTGAAGCACAGGAATGGCAGTGCACTCAGCCAAAAAAAGAACCGAAACACTTGTACTTTTCAGTTCCAATTTTTCATGAACTGTGACAAAAAGCCTGAACAGTGAAATTTTTCCACAGTTCCAGTAAAATCCCAAATGAGAAGAACCAAAATGGAAATTATCTGTTCTTAGCTACCCATCTGGAAGGCTTAGGGTTGTCTCAACCAGACTCTTTAAAAGGAGCTGCCAGCAGGAACAAGCACAAGGCCACCAGACTGGGCTGGGCTGCTCAATCACCAATTGGCCTTTCCTTTCTGTCCAGTGTCCAAAAGCTTTCCCTGCATTTCAGTGCTATTACAGTAGAAACATCATATTAAAAAAAAAATAATAATAATATCTGAAGTAAAATTCTATACATTTATATATATTATATATATATATATATGTCCCAGATTCCATCTTCTCAAGTGGTATGTTTCCAAAGAATTCTGAGCAGAAAGCTCTGACAGAGCTCATTTTGTTAGGGTGGTGTCTTTCGCATACCAAGCTAGCAGCACAAGTTACCGAAGTGCAGTAGGTTAGCAACCTACTTACCCCCCAGCTTGCACAGCTGGGTGAAGCTGTGCCATTCGTCACATCTGTAATTGGACAAAAGTTAAGAGGTCTACCTTGTGAAGGGGAACATTACCTCAACTTTTGGTTTAAAATAACAGTGAGATTAAAGTAACTCTGGTTTTAACTCAAATTAACAGATGACATTCAATCCAAAGTTTTCTACAGTCCAAAACTCAAGTTGTCAAGCTGGGCTAGTGTCAAAATTCCCTCTTCAGATTTCTGGTATTTTAAAAAAACCCTAAATTAATGAAGTTTGGTTAAGACCTCTCTTCTCCCCCCATCTCCATCCCCAAGAGCACACCCTACATAGCACTCATTCATATGAGGATAATGGTTCCTCCTAACCTGACTGAACCATATTTGCTGTGATAGGAAACTTCTCTTATGCTGGCAAGTTTCTCCTAGGGGACCTGCACTCTGACTCCAAGGACAGCCGTTATGTTTTGAGCTGCGCAAAACACAAGCAATACAAGAAAAACAAACAAACAATACAACTGTTGTACAGGGATTTACAGGGTAGCTGCAGCTCTTAACACTATCAAAAGTTTTGTAGAAGTACAGACTTGAGGTGGAAAGCCTTAATAGAGAAAACAGCAGCATACTGTAAGTAGCTGAAGGTATCCGGTCATCCACATCAATCAGAGTGCCCTCTGACCTGCTTCGTGGAATCTCTGAGTTATGGAGGGAGGCTGTTCCACTGCTAGAAGCATTTTCCTCCTAGGAAACAGTTAAATGTGTAAAACATTAGCGAGCTGCAAAAGAGGAAACTGTTGAAGAATAGTTGAGTTTTGCTCCTATGATAGAATAAAAGAAAAAACTTTGTGACATTATGGTTTAATATATGGAGTTTGCCCAAGAGCACTGCAGTCCTCAGTCTCACTGTCTAATTTACAGCAAAAGCACCAGATGTAACAGCTACAGTACAGTGAAGCACCCCAGCATTTGGGGAAAACAAACAAATCACATATCTAAATGTCTTGCAAGTAGAATTGAGCATTTTGATAGAATTGAGAATTATACAATAATTTCCATTATGAATGTCTTGTAGAAAACCTTTATAAAAATAACAATAAACATCTCAATTCCTATTTTCAGTTAGACTTGACTAGAAACATTGAAGGAGAAGATCTAGGTCTATTCATTCCTCTGTCAAGTAATATAGAACATTTCCAGCCCTATACTGTTGTAAGTGATGGCAGCTAGTAAAACCATTAAGACACTTGGAATTTTAAAAATAAATAAATAAATAAAGAGGAAGGGAAGGGGAAAACCACAGATTTTTTGTGGTCCATCTCCAGGATACAACAACAGTCAGCTTTGTTCAGGAGTCTAAAGTACTGCAGCCTGCCACTTCAACAGAAACTGCAGACGACTCAGATCTTGTTTTTATTGTGATTAAAAAGAGGAAAAAAATGCTTTGGGGAAGGTTTTGCTGTGGTTATTAAAAAAAAAAAAAAATCAGTTCCAGTTCCAGTAGGTGAATTATGGGAAAAAAGAAGTACGCTTTATAATAGAAAATTACTGAATGAGAAACTGGAAGCTGGATGACTGTTTCCGTTGTGCATGGTGCAATGGCTGAAGATCTGATTTTTTTTTTTTCACTGCAGATGTAACTCAGTACCTTTTATTCTTATGACAATGGCTATCTTCAGCAAATGGCCATCTGATCAGATGCTGATTTGCACTCAGGCAGGATGGAAGGCTGATGTCAGGCTAAGGCTGACAGCTAGCCAGTGGCTTTGCTGTAATGGGGCTGCAAGCACTCTTAAGGCTCCTGCTACCAGAAATCTCAGCCTTCAGCTTTAGAAAGGCTGATTTCAGATAACAGTGGAAGCTTGCCTCCAAGACTCATAGTTTGTAGCTTCTGCTATTAATGCCATACCAAAACCAATTCTAAAATGTCTCTTTCACCCTGACACTGTAATTCCAACAGATGACATCCCATATCTGTGTAAAATTATCACCATCTGCTGTAAAGAGCAGTATCTTTGATAACGTATCTGCTTTCCTACAAAGTAAATGTTTTTTATTGCTGCTGTATCTTGAAATGCTGAAAAACTGAATATGTTGTAGAAGTATGCCAGATTTTAATCTCAGATTTCCATTTCAGGGATTTGGGGTGTTTAATCACCAGTTTCGACTGTAGAGACATTATGTTGGTATCCATAGTTTAAATTCCCAGTAAGTTTACAAAAAGAAAGTCTAGTTCTTGTAGCATCAGCATATGCATTGTCAGCACTGAACTCTGACTGATGATTTATTGACAAATTAATCTAAGAACAGTTCTTTGAATAGTTAATGAAAAGAACACGTATTTCAGTATCTCTTTGAACGGGGATGCAATAAGTTAAGATGAGGATAGAGCAAGATAAGGCAAGTAGCTGCAGAAAGACTAAAATAAGAACCCTTAGGGGAAGGGAGAGAGAGAAAGAAAAACAAATCTCTTACACAGTGGGTGCATATTGTCAGAGACATGAGAACAAGATTGCATATTGAAATCTTATACACACTACAAACTTCTGCAGAAAGAATAAGCCAGTTCCTAAAAGGTTCCTCTGGGAACTCGTTAAAATCTTACCACTAGCCTGGCACAAAGACAGTAGAGACAGATACTGAAAAGGAAAAGCAATCTCAAAAATAAAGCCTCTCTCTTATGAGGGAGCCCTTGTTATTCAGGTGCATCTTCAGGCCAGACAAAAAGAGGAGGAGGGTGAGGGACAACATAGATGTTTGTTTGCAAACATTGACCACATTTGGTCAGGATGCCACGGGATGTGGGAAATACCAAGGACAAGCTGTACACATACCATGGGGTACTGTGTGCTGTGCTTCCTGAGCACAATGACATGATCTGACAGCAGGGCTGGATCCAATTTCTTCTGTGTTTCAGCCCTAGTGCTGGGAGTGCTTATACTACTGTTGCCTCTGTATCAGACTCTTGAAGTAAGAAAGCCCAATGCTTCCCCTTCTCTGTATGTAAATTCTGTGATAAAATAGCATCCTGACAGAAACTTTGGATTGGGCAGCCCTAATAATTAGAAACTTACCTCAGTAAATCCAAATGAACAATCATCTGCATGAGAGGAGAAATCAGTGCACATGGGGTGAAAAACCATCCTGAACAGGAGCGAAGGGAAAAGTTATGAAAATCCTTTGCTGCAGAAAGAAGGAATTATATATGGAAAGAAACAGAAGCTATGCTTTTCATTTCTGGTAGCTGCTGAGTAAGAAAGATGTAACCTGACAAGTACTTAATGGTGCAGAGAATTATTTGACTGATAGTATGTCAGCTCACAGCATGAAGTGAGCAGGAAATAAAGGAAATAAAGAAGTAAAGAAGTTGGAAAGAGATCATCTACACTGGTGACCAGAGAGCAAACCTGTGGAGAGACATGACACTTTTCCTATGAGAGAAAGAAGTAGTTGGGTGCAGACTGCTATTACAGCCTCGAGGACTCTGCTCAGCCCATGGGGAAAGCAGGGCCACAGTGCTCCTGGTAGGCACACTGCAGACTGTCACATGGAAAGGAAAACACATTAGAAGGAGTGGAAAGACTCAGGTAGAAAGCTGAAATTTTCAGAGAAGTCAGGAGACAGATTTGCTGCAAACAGCATTTTTGCTGCATGCGATGCCTCTGGAAATGTCATCCAGGTCTTTTAAAATTCAAGTGCATTTTTTTTCTTCCTCTAGAGCTGCTACCAAAGAAAACATGTCCTGCTGTGCTTAAAATAGTGGTGAGGAAAAAAATAAAGAAAGCCCAAAAGCAAACACTTCCCCACTGCCTCTGCCCTCAAAAACAAGACAGAACACATTCCTTGGTGTTTTTAAAGTATCAGCATCCCAGAGTGAGACACCAGCAATATGCCTTTCATTCAACCTTAGCCCTGTTTGGCCTGCTTCAAGAAGAGTCTGTGTTAGCAGCAGAGTTCTACTGTGGCAGTGCCACCCCACAGATTTCTTGCACATATAGTGATATTCAGGCACTATTCACAATGATTCATAGCCTCTGCATCCAGAGGATGAAGTTTTGTCATTTGCAAAGACAAGACAAGCAACACAAGCAGGTGATGGAGATGTACTACTCAGACTCACTCAGCTGTTATGAGGGATGATGACTTGCTAGTTTCAGAGGCTAGATTATTAGATTTAAGATTTACAAGTATAATTCTGAAAATGGTGCAAGACCTTTTTGTCAGTTTTAAATACAGTATTCCTGACCTAACCAAGTGCACAGAATCATTTAAATTCTATCAAATGAAGAGAAGAAAAGGATTTCTAAAGAGAAAGCAAAACAGAAGAGAGAGATGGTTTCAGAAGGTACTACATATCATCATAAAGTCTAAAACACCTCGTGCTTTATATAGATTAACATGTCTGCAACTAGTATCAGTTACATCAACGGGTCATATTACAACAGTCCCTTGGTACTCATGATCTGCAGACAGGTGGTTGGATATGAGCCTACCAACCTCTTGACCACAAGGCTGAACTATGGTACTATAGTTAATGGTAGTACAGGACAATGAGCAAAGTTTTCAGCTGATATGATACAGTCTTCATCTTACTGTCTTAGCCTAGGATGTGTGAGACAGTTAAAGAATTGCATCTGTATCTCATTTTGTACTGAGAAAGCAGTGGCTTTTAATGTTCAAACTAAAGATCTCAACCATATATTACCCAACTTACCAATACTTAGCAGCAGCAATGATAGTGCCTTAGTATCATCCTATTACCTGTCACTTTGCCTATAACGATAAGAAAATGTTTTCAATTGATATATTTACTAACTTATTCTACTTTTAAGTAGCTGACTCATTTGGTACCTACTTTTCAGTTCCGAAAACTTATTATATTATGATAATGTGATTTGCAGATGCATTCACACTCCTGCCTGAACCCAGGTTTTAAGGTTTCTGCAGACCTTCGTGTGGTAATGCTTGTAACTGACATAATCACTGCTCATAATACTTAATTTGAGCTAGCTTTGAAGGGCAGAGCTAGTAGTCTTAGCACAACAGAGAGCGAGACCTGAAGTGGGTCATCCTCTCAGTAGATTTCCACAACTTCACAAGGGGCTTTTTATAGCCTCCACTTAGCTCTGCACTACCCAGAACTTGCTGCTTTGTAGTCAGTTTGGAGAATTCTATGCAAGCAAAAAGTGCCTACACTTCCTTTACAAAGCAAACACCCTTCCTTTCATTCCACACATCTACACTACTAAATTGCTTGCTATAAGCATAAGGGCAGTGGCCTTTATTTTTTTATTACAAACCTTTCATTTGGAAACATTGCTTGCTTAGATAAATCTTGATGTTGTATTTTATGTTTCAGCTACCACACTGAAATAAGTTATGGTTTCTCTTTGGCATCAGAAAAAAAAAAAAAAAAATAAAAAAAAAAAAAAAATATATTTATATTTTTAATGGAAGCTTGTGTCCCT